ACAAGGTTTATATACATTTTAGCAAGTAATGCTCGTAATAATTCTGACAAACTACTTCAGTTATACTTAAATCATACTTCAATCTCTTATAAACTAAAATTCGCGTTAACGATCTTTCTCTCGTTATATACTTGAACAAAACGCATCGAGAGATTGCCCCATACTTTTACCGGCGCATCTTTCCCGGAGAAGAACGGAAACGCGCGTAAGAGAGACTATACGGTGGCGCGATGCACACGAAAGTAAAGAGAGAGGACTAACAGGGCGGCGAAGGGGCCCTCTTCCTCGGGATTAACCTTGGACTTGACTCGAAGGAATGCGCCGTGCAGTGACCTCCGCTCGTATACTCGTTCGCTCCCTCGCTCGTTCACTAACTTACTCGCTCGCTAACTCACGGGCGCTCATCTCCGCTCACCTTCCTCTTCTCTCCGTCGCCCCATTTCGCTCCACCGTAGACGCTGCAGCCAGCCTACTGGCCGGTGCATTCTTTCACAGCCAGTTCGGATCCTTCCGAGAGATTCGGTGCCGTGGCCCGAAAAATCCGGAACGGAAGTTTGAGAAACGCGATCAGTCTCCTTCAGAGATTGGTACAGATTTTTCTTAGGTAAATCTAGATGATCTAGAGTAAAGGTGATTATTAAAAACTAGATGCAAACTTGTCAAGCTCTCCAAAATTTATCTCCAGTATAATACAATTATGAATTATAATTTGAATACTAAAATTTGTTGACTAAAATTGTTGACATCTAAAAATTGACATCTAAAAATTGACTAAAAATTGTTGACATCTTTTTTTAATATGGATGAAAATAAAACTAAAAATTGTTGACTAAAAATTGTTGACATCTTTTTTTAATATGGATGAAAATAAATACATTACGATAACTTCGACTAAAAATTGTTGACATCTTTTTTTAATATGGATGAAAATAAATACATTACGATAACTTCGTAACATCGTTGCAGAAAAAGATTGCAAAATTTAATAGCAAACTTGATGCGGGTATTTTCCGACAGTTAGAATATTTTACAAGCTTGAAATATTGAATATTAATTAAATATTTATTACATTTATGAATATATTACTTGAAATTATTGAATAAGCCGCTGTTTAATATTTACACTAATTCAGATCAATTGCCAATTTTTAAAAAAACTAGACTAGAACGTAAAAATTGCACTTTTTTTTTTCTTTAAAAATACAGACCGCATGTACATGTCACAGAGAATATTTTTCCATCTATTATTGTATTTTCTTATTTAAATATAAGATATATAGCGATGAGAATATTTATGGTTATCTTGTAAATTATATACATATATTTCGACTATAGTGTACGCTATCAATGTGTTTTTTTTAAAGATTATTTGAAGATGATTTGAAAAGAGGAAGGATATAAGTATGATCGTAAAAGTCTTTTTACTCGATCTTCATTAACAGCGGATTTGCGCAATGATAAGCAGAATGATCGCTTTCTGTGATCTCCGATGGGACACCAATCGGATTTTACGAGCTTCGATGCTTTTTTATAAAACTGGGCAAAGAGTTGATAAAATTCTTGATAAATTATCGTTTTGCGCGATTTTACTGGCTTTCGATTTTTCTTCTGGATCGTGATAATGCCATTGGGGTTCAAGTAAGCGCTTTTAAAAGTGTCCTATAAATTTTTAGTCTGATCTCACTTTATCGTAAATGACAAAGGAACCCGGACACAATCGGCTTTCCCGCGATCTGCCGGTTTCTCTCGCATTTAATATCGCCGGTATCTCTCGAGATTGACGAGAGGCATACGCGCATGTATGCAGTGATCATTATCGATATTTATTGGCTCTTTGCCTCGATAGAGTCATCGTTCTATAAATACACCGCAACAAAGGATATGTGCGATGGCGCTTACAGTGTATTCGTCATAACTTATAAAATTGTTTGTCGTAAATTTTTAATTAGATAATTTATATAAATGTCATATATGTCATCATGAAAAATATACACTCTTTTTTCCTATTATGAGATTTTAAATCAGATCAAATTTTAATCTCGTCTAATTTAATTTAAAAAAAATTGATATATTATTAATTTAATTCTGAAGATGTATCACACAATTAAAATACTTTATGAAAATGTCGAGAGAGAGAGAGAGAGAGAGAATATTTAAAAAATATTTTTATTTTTTAACATATCATTTCTTTGACACATCATTTCTTTGACACTGAATTGAAGTCCTTTGAGGTATCCTTTATTTATTATAAAGAATTGGAAGGATATAGCAAAAGATTTTTTCCAAATTTGATAGAATCAATATTTAAAACATCAATTTATTGATTGTATCTAGACGGTATAAGAGTATATCTAAATTTTAATACACATTGTTTCTTAAAATATGGAACTTTCGAAACATTATTGTGTTCCTCGAATTATTTCGCTATGTAATCACGAATTATGCGGGCTATTCAGGTATAACAAGCCATAATCGATAAAATGGTGATTAATCTTCAATAATAATAGATCAGAGGCGTGCTCGATGCTAAGGTCATCGCGATGACTGTGCCGGCACTCGTCGACTATTACGGCCTTCGGCTAAAAATAGACCGGGTGACTTTGTGATTATGGTATATACGCGTAGATTTATTCGAATGAACAAAAGAAGCTGTACAACGATGTTCGATAAATCAGTAGAACAATATCAGGTAATGAACAAGAACGTTTTTCAAATTTACTCGCACCTTATATTGATCGAATTTTTTTTTAAATATTTGCCATTATATAAATACATATACAGGGTGTCCCAAAGCACCCTTGACAACGCTCATGAGCACATAGAGCACAGTAAACTGAACAGAAAAGTTCTGTACCGTTATTATTGAGTAAAGTCTGGTCAATCAGCGCCGACTTTTAGCCGGACGCACGTCAGTGAGCCGCCCGTCTGTTAGTGTGTGTCGCCGTAGCGACGGAGCGCTCACGCACACTACCAGGCGCGCGGCTAAAGATCGGCGCTGATTGGCCAGACTTTACTCAATAATAACGCCTTTATTAAGCGTTATAGAAAAAAATGGTACAGGACCTTTCTGTTCAGTTTGCTGTGCTCTACCTGCTCACAAGCGTTGTCAAGGGTGCTGTGGGACACCCTGTATATATCGCAGATAAAAAGTCAATCGCATAATTTATTTTTTGAACAAATTCCAAACATTTGATTCAATAATAGACTGTCATTCGACGCGTAGATTATCGCGATTTTCTGATATCTGAAACGAAATCAATAGGTTTCACATCGGTCTAATAATTCCTTTGATAAGTCTTTCTTTAATTAAAATATCATAATTGGGAATGAAAAGTATCTTTGGTATGACACGCCAATTAAGTTTTTAAAATCCAGTTAAATATAATAAATTCATTTTTCCTTACTTTTTCAAAAATGGATAAATTAAATAGATAAATTAATCTCTTTGGGATTTTTCCGAATATATCCGAAAGAATATAAATATATATAAAATTATTTCAAATTTTAAATATGTGATATTGAATATCAAATATCATATATACGTATATTGATATATTGAATATCAAATCTTTTCTCTTTTATATAGAAAATATTAAAAAATTGGCTTCAATGAAATTATCGAATTAAAATGTATAAAATTAATGTTTCTAGAATGTTCTATATATATACTATTTAGTTTATATTTAGACAGTCTAATCAACACATATAAAGCGCGAATCAAGATAGTATAATATATTTCGAAGTAAACAACAGATCTTTGTCTTGACGTTATACGAACAGAACGATTATTGGAATTTGAGCGTTTGATGAGTCAGACATTTTTTTTTATAATCGATAACAAGATACGCACGATAAGGGCCGATAATCGTTGCATCTTAAGTCGCGATGATAAGATTCACTGTTTATTGGCTCGCTCGTCGCAGCTTGAAATCTGAGAATGACGCAACATCATCTCGGGTTTGTGGTAAGCAGGACGTTTTAGATGAAATGCACGAAAAGGATGTGATAATGTGCTTTATCTAATCACAAGGCAGTTTGACTTGCGCCCAAGATTAGCACAGAACCGGCGCACATGCATCTCATGATGATATTTTCTTTCGCATTAGAGAGTGTTTAATAAATAAGCCTTGGGACACAATTTAGTTATTAATAAAACACAAATTAGGAGAATTTTATCTTTTTATGGATTATGTAAGGAGTAATTGCATAATACGAAGAGGAGGATAAGCATGTTTAGTATAAATAAACTTATTGTCAGTTTATGCATTTTCCACAAATTTGTAGATTATAGTAGTAGTATAAAATGTAATTATTAATTTTGAGATAAGAAAATTTTGTTTAATTTTTTCTTTTTTTTTAATTTCTCTGTTATTGATTTCTATAGATATAAAATAATCTGACGAAAAATTTAAGTTTTTAAAGGAAATTTTTAATCTACTGAAATCATATATTAAAAATTAATAATTCTTTTAGTTTCTATTTCTACCTATTTCAGATTTTTTATTTAAAATATAGATAGTTTTATAAAGTTATATACAAAAAGATTGAAATATCATGCTTAATATAGTCAATTTTTCTTCATTCTTATTATGAGATACAAATACTTGTGTATCGTTTTTCATTTTTGCAAATAAAATAAAAAATGTCATTATCCGCGCGTAAATAATCGAATGGAAACTGCGTACAGTCACAAGAATCTACGATCCAAGATAAGCTGACCGGTTGTAATTGAAGTATGCGACGCCATCGTCGCTATCATCAATCGTGATATGATAGTTCACACGATAGTTTGCTCGGGGCATCTCTTACCGTAATTCTAATAGGCTGACGTCAATCGGCAGTCTGCCATTATTTATGCACATCGGCGGCTTCTCATGCAAATTGCAATGTTTATTTGCGAATTACCGAATATGCGGTTGCGCTTGATAGTGAAACGAGCTAATATTCATTGTTTTTTCTATATGTACGTCAGTTTTGTAAAACGCTTGTAATTTGTTTCAGAAGACGTGGGCTACAGAAGTGTCGAGATCACGTCCGCCTTCACGCATTTGCCTCAAAAGGGTAAGCATTTTTTGCTGTTCATATCTCTAAAGTTCTCGTTGATCGACGCAATTTTTCTTAACGAGTTATGTATATAAATTTAAATATCGTGCAATTTCTATAATTTTAAATTAATTAATGTAATATTTTCAAATTATCGGTATCTTTAAATTTAATAAAAATCGCGATATTTAGAGAAATATATATATATATATATATTTATTTATTTTATATGGAGAGTGGAAGAATTGAAAGTATACATAATTTTGTAACTTTTCAAAGAAACATACATAGATTACAATATCAGCGCTTGATCTATAATTCCTAATTCATTACAATTGATTTCTTATTGATTAATATTATTTTAAGATTCGGTTTTCAAATTGAAATTTTGTCATGGATTTACATTATAGAAATTGTACTATATTTATGATATTAAGCGCAATATATTTAGACGTACGATCTAAAAATGTCGATAACTAATATTTGACAATATGCTGATCAAGCAACGGTGAATCATATGTTTTGGAAATGTTAGGTTAAAATTCAAAAAAATTGTTTATAAGAATTCAGATCGTTTCTAAATATATTCTGTTCCAAATCCATAACTGTTCCGAAAGGCAGCAGCCGCGAAGAGAAAAGGATAAAGAAATGGCGAAAACAGATTTTAGGAACACAAATGTTATTTCCAAGTCGTAATAACTGGAATAACTGGTATAACCGGTATAACCATAATCGACGTGGGAGGCGCATGCGAAGGGAGGGAGGGGAATATTACCGCCAAACTGTTTGTGCATCTGTAATATAAATTTCGAGTTTGGTGAGCCAACCTTCAATTTTGCCATTCGGTTGGCATCGCTATTTTGATAAACACGATAACCGATCTTTCTATTTTTCTATTATAAAACTTGTGTGTAACAAAACATTAACATTAAGATTAATAGAAATCTTTTTCTTTTATACATGCACAGATAAGTTAGAGTAAAAAAATATGTAGTGATAAATAAAATATATCATAAATAATAAAAGATGTATAAAAGTGATAAAGTATATCTATTTATGTGTATTCTAAAAGAGTCCCGTGTATAAAATGTTATTAATTATTATAAACTATTTGCTGAACAAAAATTGTTTAAGGATATTTATTCTCGTAAAATTTTCATATTGACAATATTGTATTGACCTGAATTAATTAATTAAATCCTTTTGACATTCGTGCAACGCGTTCCATGTTATATTGGTCTGCAGAATGATTTAATAAATGCGTGATATATATAAAGAATTAACTAATGCTTAATATAAATACACTACTCACACATATAATGTTATACACTACATGTAATGTCCAGATAAAGAATTGCAGATAAAGAATTTTATTCAGAACCCGATACTAAATATGCGATGCATGATTAGCATAATTACACGAGTATATTCGCGAAGAGACATATATATCTTGTTACGTAATTAAAAAAGGAAAACATCCGAGAAGAAGATGTAATGCGATGAGCGATTAAGATTTAACGTAATAATTTTATTTTGTCGCACACGTGGAAACAGGCGTAACACATACACACCCACACGCACGTATCGTTATTTACGCGTGATTATCAATGTATCTAAATTTGCCAAAGTCTATTAAGACGCCGTCATTTGTATTTCGCATATTCGATGATTAATTTTTAATGTTTATCTCTTGACACCCTCATAAATACGATAACCTTGAGCATCGTAAAATAGATCCATTTTGTCTTTCTCCTTGTCGCTCTCGAACAACAACGCGAAAATAAAGTAAACATATTCTTCGCTCTTTTTTCATCGCTAACTTGCGTTTGATCTTTGACATGAAAAGCATGTACACACGCTGTAATATTTACAAAAAATGAAGTTATCTCCTTTGTACAATGTAAGCTATGAATATACAATATACATATTGTAGAATCCCCTTTATATCTATATTTTATCATACAGATTCAGAGATAGAAGCAACTTCTTCAATCAACATATCTGATTTTGATATTATTTTACAAAATTACTATAAAACTTCTATAAAATTACATAAAATATAGTGTATCAATATATAGTAAAAAAAGTTGAAAAGAGAGGGCAATTTAATTTTGAGGAGAATATCAGAATATGTATATTGTATCAGAATATTTTTTTTTATATATTTTTTTTCTCTCTCCATATGTCTAATACAAAATTTTCACACAAATCAAACTTTGAATAAAAATAATATCTAATACTTTAATTACGTTTAATTAGAAAATTATCTTTGATATCTTTGTAATTAACTTTTCGCGTTACATATTTGTCATTTGTCAGGAAATATACGACTTTCGCATTTGTCACATTTGTCATAACGTGATAGAAAAATATATACATATTTTGATAAGGGTAAGGGTAAAGGTCGATTTTGAATAGCGAAGTTATGTTTTGAATAACAATTTGTAAGAATATCTTTTTCTTTCGCATAAAGGTTTTATTGAAAAGAATGATTTCGTAGACACTCTCAAACCGACTCAAAAGAAGTAGAAGTAGAAGTTAGGAGAAGTAGAAATGGAAGTTTTATCAATTGAGAATCAAGTATATATATACATTTTTCATTTATTTAGTCTTTTATAGTCTTTTTTTAGTATAGCTTATAGCCTGCCTTATTGTAAAAAAGTAAAAGCAGAGTAGAAAAGCAATTCTTCTCTTGCTTACAAAATATTGTTATTCAAAATTAAACGATAGATAACTTATACAAAGAGAAAAAATATGGATACTAAAATTTTGACAGGTCAAATTATTAGAATATGAGTGAAGATGGAAGGAAAAGTCAAGGCAACACGTGGCAAGAGATAGGTAGATACAACACGTCCTTAACAAGTGGTATTGACGAATAAAATATACAAGAGCTTGACTTCAAGCTCTCTTTAAGTAGATCGCTATTCTGTACACGACTAACCGACAGCTGTAGGCTCTAACAAAATGTCGTTGCGCATGTTTTTCGATATGTCAAAAAACATGCGCAACGACACTTACAGAGCCTATAGCTTTCGGTAACCGTGTGTAGAATAACGCTCTTAGTCACTCGTCGTTAATTACGCTTTAGCAGCAAATTAACGTGTTTCTCTCGCGAAGAATTCTCCACATTGTTCTCTCAAAACACGACGCATAGCCGAGTAGAGAGAGAGAGAGAGAGAGAGAGAGAGCATGCGACCGTAAACGTCACTCTCGCGATTGGCGAATCCTCTCGCTGGCTCCCCGCTTCTCGATGCACCACCACCACACGCTGACGTCCATCGCGTATATGATGAGGATTTATCAGAACGATTCCCGGTCGAGATCGTTCAGTCGCGAGATCGAGGAGACAGTTTCGCGTCTTTTCCGCTCCGCTTCCGCTCTCCTTTTCCTCCCCCTTTCCCCTTTCTTATTTTTTTATCTGTCACAGATTCTCTCTCTCTCTCTCTCTCTCTCTATTTTTCTCTCACTTCACATCTTGGCTCGCGTAATCGCTTCCAGTGCGAGCTAAATTTAGCGCTGACCGTTGCTTTTGCCGACGTATATAAAGCTCCTCCTTTTGCTCCTTCTCCTCGCGTTCGCCATCGTTTCCTGCACGCGCGCGCCCGAGGTCGCGAGACGCCGCCGAGAAAACACGACGACGAGTCCCACCTGTGAAGTTCTGTCGCGAGTGCGTGTGTCTCGCGACGACTATAAGCAGAGAGAGATAGCACTGTGGATATACGTCGCGATCTACGTGAGCGATGCATCTGTATATACGTGTTGATTCTAAAACTAGGAGTGCGTCGCGAGGAACAGCTTTGAACTTGTGACTCCCAACAACTGATAACCCGGAATCTGTGAACGCTTTATCGTGGCACGCGTGTCTCGAAATTTCGTCGCAGCGTAAAATTCGCTCGTGCGGGAGTCTTTAATAAAGCGTGTCGCTTTACCGTGCGCGATTACTGCGATACAATTACGACACGTCGACGGAAAAGTGCGATGATAATTAGTAGTGCGCGGAAATGTTTAAACTTGGGTGCACAAAATTCGACGATGAAAACCAAGTATTGTGAACGCTCGCGAGCGATCTCCTCGCTCGAAGTTTCGAGTGTCTTGGGGACGATTTCGAGTTTGGACTTTTAACGGGGGTACAAAATTCGGGAGAACGCGAAAACAGAGCCGGGCCCGTTCGCGAGCCTTGCGTGCAAATCGATCGAGCGATAAACGGCTGTACGTGCGCGCGTTGCGTATACGTGTGTGCATTGCGCGTAATAAACGCTAAAAATAGCCGCGTTATCGCGCTGCGAACTAATAACGAGGCCATAAACATCGTCGCGACACACGCGCGATCGCGCACGAATTCCGCGAGTTCTCTCCTCGATTGTCGCGCGATAACGAGAGGAAAGAGGTGGACGTTGTCGCGGTGCTCTTTGCTCTCCCTTTATTCCCGAGCCGATCGCAATGAGAGGACCCAAGAAGAGAGAGATCGACGTTCCCACGAAATTACACGATTTTGCTAGTCTTGTTCCAAAATTAGAGTCTCGGAAAATCAAAAAATAATTTTTAAAAAACCAACCAACGCGGAGATTGATATTATCGCGCGTTTCCTGGAAACCGACGTTGTTTGGAAACGAACACAATCGGAACGACGCAAAAAAACTTCAGTTCTTTCCATTACTTATACGCCACAATCTTCGCCTTCCTCAATATTTCATATCTTGACAACATTTTAAAATCACCTTCGACATCGAAAAGAGATATTTAAAGCGAGGATTTAAACAGCAAGATATAAGAAATTGTCATTGATGATTTTAGTTGCGTGTGTGCTGTGCGTGTTAATTTCTTTTCGATATTTAAATTAAATGTAAATTGTGGAAATATCGCGGCGTGTGCTGTTGAATAAATATCGATAAGAACTATTGAGACAACCAGTTGGCTGGCGGCGAGTGAAATATCGTCATGTATTATTGGAAGAATATTGATAAAAATTATCGAGACATCAGTAAGTGACGGGGAAAAAGCGATCTTTCAGCAACAACGACGACATCGAAGGGAGATTAGATTTAATAATACCAGTTGTTACGACTTTTTAATCCACACAATAAATATTTTATTTCTCAAATTACAACGTAAAATATTTTATTTCGTAAATAAACAAAATATTCTCTATTTATTTCGAGATTATAATTCCTCTCGAGCGGACAATTTATCATGTCCGATCGTATCGGTGCAAAAGTTCGATAATAGAAGGGGGGAGAGAAATATATATATATCCTGTGTAAGAAAGAAAAGGGAAACTATGAAGGTTTACGTGGAGCAAGCGAGCGCGTTCGATCGATATCCGCGCGCGGAAAGCTCGAGCGTGAATCTCGCCGGCGGACATCACCGCCGTCACGG